GCTCCATCCGGGCGGCAAAATCAGTGTCCCCCAGACAATGCCGCGGCCCAGTTCGGTGACATGCACAGACGCCACCGTGAGCCAGCCCGCGACCCACGGCGATCGATAAGCCTCATTAATAATTAACTTTTTAATTAAACGTCCATTTAAAACAAGGAGGGAATCAGCCTCTTGCTGTGAATGTCCCTGACCCCCTGGGCTGCCCGGGGGCCTCTGGGGGGAAGAGGGAGGACCCCAAGGACAGAGCACGGTGACAGGGCCTTTTCCTCCCTGTCGGTGGGCCCCTGAGCCCCGTCCCCAGCCCTTTTTCTATTTTATTGAGAGACAGGGTCTCGCTGAGTGGCTCAGGGCCTCCCTAAGTGGCTGAGGCTGGCCTCCACCTTGCGATCCTCCGGCCTCAGCCTCCCCAGCCTCTGAGATGTGCCCTGCCGGACAGACAGACGGTCTTAGTGGAGAAGAGCTGACAAGATGCCCTTGTTTCCATAGCAACCCGGAGTGGGCAGCAGCCTGGCCTCTGGAGGAGAAGGTGGCTTCTCCGTCACCGCCACCCAGAGCCTCACGACCCCAGGGGTTTCCTGACCGGCTGCTCGGGTGACCGCAGGCGTAACCACGGCGCCCGGGGGCTCAAGTGGCTGGTGGTGCCAGGTTCCTGCTTCGGGGTTGACAGTCGAGTGTGGCTGGCGGGCCGGCAGGTGACCTGTCCCTGGACCCAACCCCGCCAAAACCAAGGAATGTCGGAGGCCAGGGACAGGGGGCCAGGCAGCTCCGTGGATGGAGAGGGCAGCTTTGGGAGCCGTTCTGGGGTCACCCACCTGTCCTGGGTGGTCCCAAATCCCTCTGAGATAGATGGCTTTTCTTGTCCTCCCAGGGGCTGGGGAGGCCGAGGCAGGAGGATCGCAAGGTGGAGGCCAGCCTCAACCACTTAGCCAGGCCCTGAGCAACTCAGCGAGACCCTGTCTCTAAATAAAATGCAAAAAGGGCTGGGGACAGGGCTCAGGGGTCAGCACCCCTGGGTTCAATTCCTGGGACCAAAAATTAAAAAAAAAAATGTCCTGTGAAGCCAGCCAGGCCCTGGATCTGGGGACGTTTGGCAGAGCAGGGACCTGGCATCTCTTTCTCTGCCGACCCCTGGCACCTTCCCAGGCCTGGGTCAAGGCTTGTTGTGCGGTCGGGTGGGGCAGGCCTTGTCTCCAGGCTCCTGTTGGGGTAGGTAGGGGTCTGGAACTGGGCCCACGGAGCAGGGTCCTCTTAAAGTGCAGATGGTGACGGGTGGAGTATACAGTAGGTGCTCAGCACGGCCCTTGATTCTGGAAAACTGAGATCCACATGGACCTGTTCAAGCTTCAAAAATAGGATGGTCTTTAAGAACCAGCCAGCTAAGCCAGGTGCCTGGGAGGCCAAGGCAGGAGGATCGCAAGGTGGAGGCCAGCCTCAACCACTTAGCCAGGCCCTAAGCTACTCAGCGAGACCCTGTCTCTCAATAAAATAGAAAAAGGGCTGGGGACGGGGCTCAGGGGTCAAGTGTCCCTGGGTTCCATCCCTGGGACCAAAAACAAACCCAAACAGCAGCCTTCTGTTCAGGTGTGACCGTGTTGAGGCCCAGGAGGCAGATCCGGAAGGCCTGAGCCTCCCACCCAGGGGGCCAGGAGGGGAGTCCAGGGACTGGGCCTGGCCTCTGCCGCTGCTCTGGGACCTCCTTCCCGGGTCTCCTTGCTGGTGACCCCGGGTCCCTGGCTCTCTGGGGGGTGTCACCCGCTCTCTTCCTCCTGGCTCTGGGCCTCCCGGGTCCCCCTGCCTGCTCGGGTCCACTCTGTACAATCGCTTGGACGCTGGTCCCCTGGTCCCCATGGCAACGGGGCAGATGGAGCCCGCGATTAGCCGTGCTCCTCCTGCCTGGGCGCGATCTGTCTTTGAAATTAAATCAGCGGCGATAACATCGACCGGCCAGAGGGGGGAGGGGGAGGGGAGGGGGAGGAGGGAGGGGGAGGGAGGGGAGGAGGGAGGAGGGAGGGGAGGCCCCACCCACCCGGCCCAGGGGACACAGGTAAAGGACGTCTCAACCCCAGGGACTCAGTTTCCCTGTCTGTGAAATGGGACCAGATGGGTGGCCGCCCTGGGGTCTCGCGGTGCACCTTCTGGGGTGCAGGGGGGTCCCCCAACCAGGTCCATGCAGAAGAACCTCAAGCCGGGGTGAAGAGATACTCAGTGTCAGAGGTCAAGGGCATCGGGGACCCTGTGGCAGAGGTGACCTGGCCTCCCACGGGGCCCTGGGAGCCAGGATGCACTGTCCCCACCCCACCCATTGAGGGTCCCCCAGGTGCCGAGGGGGGAGGTGGGAAGGGAGCCTGGAATTGGGGCAGGGCTCCCTGGGGATCTGGGGGGAGGGCTGCAGGCAGACGGTGCAAAGGTCCTGGGGTAGCAACCTGCCGGGACTGTCTGCTGGACTGTGAGGCTGGGGGACTGGAGGAGACGGAGTGATGGGGCCGGAGGATGGACACAGGGCTTGGGGGACCACTGTGATCATGGTGGCTTTTACAGATCGGAGCGTCTCACGAAACAGGTTTTTCACTGTGGGGTCAAAATAGGGGAATAGAGGGCAAGAGAGGAGGCAGGGAGGCCAGAAGGGAGGCCAGCCAGGAGGGAGGCCAGGGTTAATGTCCAAGGTCTAAGTTAGGACCTAGCCTTGACCTCAGAAACCGCAGGTGGAGGAGCCCCCTGTGTCCCCATCTGGGGCTTCCACCCAGCCCCACCCTCAGGGTGCCCCTGGGTGACCAGGGAGCTCACGCAGGAGCGGGGACTGGGGACTTTGAGAGTGACAGCCTCCCTTCCTGGCACGGACCCTGCGCTCGACACCCAGGCAGGACCAGAAGGGGCTCCAGGGAACGTCCCCTGAGCCTGGCGGAGTCGGGCGAGACCTCCCCCAGCAGGTGAAAAGAGTCGGCCTCCGTGTCTCTGTCTGTGAAATGGGACAAGGGTTCAGGGGTGTTTGAGGACAGGAGGCAGCAGGAGTCCGTCTTCCTCTGTGTGGGACGGAGGCCGGTCTGTGTTCAGCTGTGAGGCCCCAGAAAGAAAGGAGAGGCCGGGCGCGGAGGCCCAGGCCTGTCATCCCAGGGGCTCGGGAGGCTGAGGCAGGAGGATCGCAAGGTGGAGGCCAGCCTCTAACAAGTTAGCCACTCAGCGAGACCCTGTCTCTAAATAAAATAGAAAAAGGGGCTGGGGACGGGGCTCTGGGCTTGAGCACCCCTGGGTTCCGTCCCTGGAACCAGAAGAAATAAAGGAAGCAGTGGGTGAGGCCCTGTCACCTGGGTCCTGGGGCGCTGAAGGACACGGGGCGCCTCGCAAACACCCGGATGTCTGCTGTCCGCCCAGCGCCAGCCCTGGTGGCCACCCGGGCTGTGGGCGGTAATCGAATTGTCCCCAGCAGCTGTCGGTACTAAATAGACACTCGACACGGCCGGGCTGCCCCCTGATTAGGGACATTAGCAGGTCAGCGGGGACAGAGGTCAGGTGGTTGATGTGGTGGAGGGGACTTTGATGAAGTTAGTCCTGGAGCCGGACCCGAGTGGAGGTCCCACCTTCTGTGCGTCCGGGGACTCCCTGCCCTCTTCTCCTAACCTGGTTAGGGGGACCTCCAGCTGCTGGCTGTCCCCAGGGGGCCCTCAGAGCCAGGTCCCTGGGAACGGGAGCCGGGCAGGGTCTCCAGACATGGCCGCTGCGGCCAGATCCAGTGCCTCTGCCTCCCTGGCCCCTGGGATGACAGGCGTGGGCCTCCGCAGCCCAAATAGACATCTTTTTAAGAGCAGCCCAGGGGGGCTCTCGGATAATCCGCATCATCCCATGACAGGAAAGTCCTTCCCCATCAAAGGAGTCTGCCCTACACTACCTGGAGGAAACTCTGGCTCTGCCTGGCTGGGACCTGCTCTTTGTGACCCTTTAGCTCCAAGGACTAAAAACAGGCTTTGCCCTGGGAGATAGGCAAAGGCTCTGAGGTTATCAGAACTTTGCATGTGCAAAGGCCCTGAGGTTACCAGAATTTTGCATGTGCAAAAGCCCTGAGGTTACCAGAATTTTGCGTGTGCAAAGGCCCTGCGGTTACCAGAAATTTGCATGTGCAAAGGCCCTGAGGATAGCAGAATTTGGGTTCAGTGGAGATACAGGAGTGGGGTCAGCATGGTGAGAGCTTGGGGTGGGGGTGGGGTGTCAGGGGAGGCCAGAGAGGTGGGCAGGGCCAGGCCGTCGGCATGTTAAGATGCAGGTGAGGCGAGCGGTGTTTACACTTGGAGCATCGGAAACCACAGAAGGTTTAAAGCAAGTCACGCAACGTGGACCTGGGTGACTGGCATCTGGCGTGGCTGCTTCATTAAAGAATCCCGTGGCCTGGAACGGGGAAGCCTGGAGAGAGAGCAACAGGGACCGTGGGGGGAACTGATGGTGCGTGGGACTGCCACTTGAGGTTGGATCAAAAGTGACAGTCACGGTCCTGGGGAACCCAGGTGATGCAGATGAGGGAGATTAAAATCTGCGCGCAGGGCTGAGGGTGTCACTCCGGGATGAGGCGCTGGCTCAGTATGCACAGGGCCCTGGGTGGCATCCCTAGCACCAGAAGCAAAACATCAACCACCTGTCGTCCCAAGGAGGCTGAGGCAGGAGGATCGCCAGGTGGAGGCCGGCCTCTAACAAGTTAGCCACTCAGCGAGACCCTGTCTCTCAATAAAATAGAAAAAGGGCTGGGGACGGGGCTCAGGGGTGAAGCACCCCAAGTTCCATCCCGCCACCCACATCCAGCTGCAGAATAATGACCCCAGATATTCTCCCCCTGGGACAGTCTGGTCCCATGTCCCTTGGTGGGACCCATCCCACCCCGTCCACCCCAGGTCATCGCCACAGACACGCGGTGCGGGTCCGCTGTCCTTGAAGTCACTTGGCAAATTTATTCATCGTCAGCCTAAGACTGTGGTCCCCTGGGGTGGGGGTGGGGGACAGCAGCCGGTGGCCGGTGGGGGGGGCGGGGTGGCCCGAGTGGCCCCGTTACTTGCTGTCCACCCTCTTGAGCTGTTCCTTGCCGTTGATGGTCACCGACTTGAGCTGCCCGTCCTCCTCCACCTCCACGCGCTCCTGCCCGTTCTCCACGATGCGCTTGGTGGTCACCTTGTGGCCGTTGACCATCTCCGTGGAGGACATCACCGACTTGAACCCCGAGCTCCCGGAGCCGGACCCCCCAAAGGAGGTGGAGGAGAAGGTGGTGCGGCTGCCCCCGCTCCGGCCCAGGACATCGAAGTTGGAGAAGGCCTCCATGAAGGCCGGGAACTCGCCAAAGCCCGCCGAGAAGGCCCCTCGCAGGCCATGTCCCCTGCTGCCCCGGTCACTGCTAAAGGGGACATCCCAGAAGTCAAAGGAGAATGGGTCCAGGCCACCAAAGAACTCACGGAAGATGTCCTCGGGGTTGCGGAAGGTGTAGCCCGTGTCGAAGGGACTGTTGTAGGGGGTGCTGGCCCCGCCACCTGCCCTCCAGCTGTCACAGCCCGCCCTGTCATACAGGGAGCGCTTCTTGGAGTCGGACAGGACCTCGTAGGCCTCCGACACCTGCTTGAACTTCTTCTCGGCCTCCTCTTTGTTGTCGGGGTTCTTGTCGGGGTGCCACCGCAGAGCCAGCTTGCGGTAGGCCTTCTTGATGTCCTCGGGGGACGCGCTGGACTGGACCCCCAGCACTTCGTAGTAGTTGGCCATGACGAGGGGGACGGGAGACCCGGGAGCAGGAGGGAGCCGAGGGTCACAGTGGCCCCCGGATGGCTGGGGCCTGGGCGCGAGGGCTGGATGGGCACGTCGGGGCGCGGCGGCTGGGCCTCGGCGGGTCTCTGCGGGGCTCCGGGCTGGACTGTGCCCGGTGGCTTTAGCTTTTCATAGGGGGACAGCTGGGGCCTCCACTGGGAGGGGTGGGGGGGAGGGGAGGGACAGTGCCGCAGTGGGCCTGATGGGCTGGGCCCCCCTCCAGAGCTGGGACCAGGGGACCCTTTGTGACATCAGCTCCTGGGGTGGGGCCTGGTCCACCCAGCTCTGCCAATGAGGTGGGCCGTCGCGGTGACCCTGGGACATAAAACCCAGTCCCCCTGGGGCTGCTGGCTGAGCCTCTGCTGGCCAAGGAGCAGAGGCCGTATGGGCCTCTGGGATCGGGCCTCGGTTTGGGAGATGAAGGTCAGTGGTAGTGGTCCGTCACGGCTCAACCAACCTGGGTCGTTTGTTTTGGGGGTCCCAGGGATGGAACCCAGGGGTGCTTCACCCCCGAGCCCCGTCCCCAGCCCCTTTTTCTATTTTATTGAGAGACAGGGTCTCGCTGAGTGGTGGAGGCCGGCCTCCACCTTTCGATCCTCTTGCCTCAGCCTCCCAGGCCACTGAGATGACAGGCGTGGGCCACCATACCTGGCCATTTTATTGTCCACCCACCCACCCACCCACTTGGGCTAACCCAAGTCACTTGGCAGCACAAATCGACAAAGAGTCCCAGGGCCAGTAGCTGCCGGTGAAGACCACATTTCTGTGGCAGGACCCTGTTAACGTCCTTCGAACGTGTCCTCCTGGTCAGGCTCGCCCATGGGACCTGGAGAAACACACCGGCTCTCTGGTCTTCCACCAGGACGGACGCAGCTGCAGCAGAGCTGTCGTTGACCATGCTCATGTCACACAGGCCACCCTTGATGATGGAGAAGACGGTCAAAATGGGCAAAGGGATCGTGGTCGCAGCGTCACGTGAAGGTGCGGTGTTGGCGGGATCGTAATTGTGTGGCGACGGTGGAGCTGATGATGGGCGAGGGGAAGGTGGCCGTGTCCTGATGGAGGTGACAGTGATAGCTGGATGGTGGAGGAGGTGTTGCTAGGATGGGGAGGTGACAGAAATAACTACTAGAGAAGCTACTGTGTGTGTATGGTTGGTGGTGGCAATGGAAACGGTCCCGATGAAGATGGTGGCATCTGTGGAAGGTACGCCTCATCAAGCTTCCTCACAGCATGGCCTCCCCATGCCTCATCAAGCTTCCTCCCAACATGGCCTCCCCACACCTTGTTGAGCTTCCTCCCAACATGGCCTCCCCATGCCTCATCGAGCTTCCTCCCAACATGGCCTCCCCACACCTCATTGAGCTTCCTCACAACATGGCCTCCCCATGCCTCATCGAGCTTCTGGACGATGGTGGAGAGGATGGCTGTGGGAAAGGGGACGTCAGCTGGTGAAGGTGGCAGGTGGTATGGGGAAGGTGGGGCTCCGGGTTTTCAGTCTCTATCTCAAGACCCCTGAAAGGGTCTTCTTGCAGAAGCCTAGAAGATTCTTCTCGAACCCCCCCCTTACCCTGTGATTCCATATAAGTCGCCCGCCCAGGCATGAGATTTTTGAACCTGGACGAAAAAGTCAGTTGTGGGCAGCGGGTCCCCAGAGGTCGCCGCGATTTCTGTGCCAGTTTCGGTGACTCTTCTGCTCCGGGTGCCCGCTGGGCTGTTGAGGGACTTGTGACCGTGTGCCTGTCATGGCGATGGTGGTCCCGATGCTGGTGGACACGGTGACGGTGGTGATACGGTGGTCGTGACTCAATGGTGATCAGTGGGGAGGAGATGGTGGTGATGACGGTCATATCAATGGTGGTCAGTGTTGGGGAGGAGATGTTGGTGGTGACGGCCATATCAGCCATGGTCGGGACAGCGAGAGTGTCAGAGAAGGTGGACATGGCGGGGGGGGGGTGTTCATGGTGACATCGGGATTGGTAAAGGTGACAATCAGCACAGCGTTGTGGGTGGTCCCAATGTTAAGAGACAAGGGACCCAGAATGATAGGTGTCCAAGAATCGCATCACCGTTCCCCTGACCCGGGCTCCTCTCTCTCCATCCTGGGGGGCTCTCTGGGGCTGACCGCCACCATTTCTCTGTTTCCTGGCGGTGGCTGGCCTCAGGACATCCTGGCTCCTCATCCTGCTCCAGGCCCCTGGAGAGAAGGATCCAATGCCCAGGCTCAGAGAGGGCAAGGTACACCCAAGGTCACACAGCAGTCCCAGGAAGCCTTCCCCAGAGGGCGGGCCAGAGGGATGTAGACCGACCAGGTCCCCAATTGGGATTCTCAGCAGCCAGAGGCCCCTCTCTGTCTCGGTCATTAATGGAGTGGCTTCTTAAAAGGATTCTAATCACCCCCGATCCTATCTGCTTATCACATGCGTCCCTAATTAGATGATCCCAGCCATCATGCAGCTAATTCCCTCCAGCCCCGGGCAGCCCTGCCCAGCCCAGCCGTCCCCACCCCACTCCCAGGCCACCCTGCCCCGGGCCAGATGGACGGTTGGGGGACTTCTCTCGTGGCTCTGTAACTGCATTAGCACCAGGATGATCGGTGACACAGGGGACGGATGAGCTAGGGGGTGACAGGTGGGTGACGGAGAGCTGAGGGTGGGTGCATGGGTGGGGGAGCAGACGGACAGACAGACAGAGAGAGGACCTTGCAGTTAAGGGGGTCCGCCTGGCCCGGTCAGACAAGCTGGGTTCCAATCCCAGCTCTGCCAGTCTCTAGCTGTGTGTTCTTGGGGAAGTTACTTAACCTCTCTTATCTCGGTTTCCTGATTTCATCAGGAAAAAGGTGGGCCGTGACTGACTCTGCCGCGTGGCGAGAGGGTTGTGTAAGTGTGCAGTGACAGATGGGGCCGATGGTGGGTGACGAGACAGACCCAATAAGGGGACGGATTGATGACGAGGAACTGGGAGGTGCGGTGGGCGGATGGGTCCTGGGTAGAAGGGATAGAAAGGTGCAGATGGGTACTGAGGTGGGCAGGCGGGTGGTGACTCAATAGTAGGAGAGTTTTCCAGGTGACGTGGGGCACACGCCTATCATCCCGGCAGCTCAGGAGGCTGAGGCAGGAGGATCGCAAGGTGGAGGCCAGCCTCAGCCACTTAGTGAGGCCGTAAGCAACTCAGCGAGACCCTGTCTCTCAATAAGATATGAAAAGGGCTGGGGACGGGGCTCAGGGGTTCATAGGGCCCCTGGGTTCAACCCCCCAAAATATCCAGAGAGTTCATGAATGCCCCTCCCATCCACCCACCCACCAACCCACCCACCAACCCACCCACCCACACCCTCTTGAGCTCCTGCCCATCCCGTGCTGCGTCCCCCTGGGTACGTGTGTACACTCACCTCCACCCGCCTGTCAACCCTGCTGGGTCTTCAAAGTCATGGCCTCTGCTGGGCCCGGGGGGCTGCCTCACCACCCCCCACGCCCTGGCCCCCCAGACCCAGCTCACCTGGATCCCAGCATGCATCTGGGTTTTGCCGGGTCAGGTGAAGAAGGCCCAGAGCCCTTCACTGCAACAGACGATTCTGATCCACAAATCTTCCTTGTGCTGCTTGGGGTGGGGCCTGAAATCACCTGTGTCACCCTGTCCCCTGACCTATGGAACCCATGTGGATGGCCAGGGTAGAGACCAGGGACGTTGCCCAACATCCTACAGGTACCCATGACATCCCCCACTGCCAAAATAAAATTAAATTGATCTGACCCCAAAGGTCAATAGCTGAGGCTGGGAATTTGTTTTATATCCTGAAGTTATTATTCGCGTAGCTTTTCTGATGCGCTGAAGTCATAAACCTACAGGGGACCTGTTGGGTTCTTTATTTCTTATTGAAGCAGGATCCTCAAGTCTGGAAATGGGTTCATGAAGTCTCCGTGGGGGGACAGCGGGTGTATCTATAGTGTGCCATGCCTGGGACAGTGGAGGTCATGGGACATACAGGCCCACGGGCTCAGACGCCAGGCCTAAGTACTCGGATTGTGTCCTGGCATGGGGAACCCTTGGGAAGATTTGAAGCAAGAGAAGAATCCGTGGCATATTCTAGAAAGATCGTTCTGCAGACGTCCCCACCCAATGGCAAAAAAAAATGAAAGTGTCCGTTGGGCAGTACCAAGCGTGGGTGAGCTTGATGAGATCACCATTCCCCTCGGTCCTGCCCAGGACATCAATCTCCCTTTGTCTGGTGTATCCATGCTGTATATGCTACCCTCCCATTCGTTACCAGCTGGCTCTCTTATTAGATCCCCTTCCATAATTTATCATAATACTTATATTCAAATAATCCATGTTTAATTTAATAGGAGCCCCCCCAAAAAAGCAATAGGGATGCGGGCCATTTTATTACAGTATATTGTTGTTGGATTGTTTTATTTTATGATTGTTGTTAACCTTTTACTGAGCCTGATGTATACACGTAGATTAATCACAGGTATGTGATATGGTTTGAATGTGAGACACCCCGCCCCCAAAGCTCATGAGACGCTAGTGAGGGTATCATCCCAGGGGCTCAGGAGGCTGAGGCAGGAGGATCGCAAGGTGGAGGCCAGCCTCAGCCACTTAGCAAGGCCCTCAGCAACTCAGTGAGACCCTGTCTCTAAATAAAATGTGAGAAAGGGTTGGGGACGGGGCTCAGGGGTTAAGTGCCCCGGGGTACTAAAGAAAAAAGAAGGAAGGAAGGAAGGAAGGGAGGGAGGGAGAGAGGGAGGGAGGGAGGAAGGGCTCATGATTCAAGGTGAATGAGCAGATCATGAAAGTGGTGACCCAATCAGTGGATTAATCCACTGGATTAATATAATCTGAAAGGACTGCTGTTCCAGGTGATAAGCATAGGCAGGTAGGGGGAGGCTGGAGGAAGTAGGTCACTGGAGGGTTGCACCTTGTGGTTTATATTCTGTTCCTCACTGCTCCTTCTCTGC